TGAAGGTGAAAACCAAAAATCAAGCTTCAAATCCTCATATTTTGATAGTTTTGGTAAAATCCTTTAATACTCGGCGAAGTGGGAATATGCTGGGTAGTAATTCAATGTGAGGATGGTTTTGGTAAAATCCTTTAATACTCGGATATAGTTCTCTAATTGGCACAATTTACAGGAGTAAGTATTATATACCTCTAACTGCCCTCTAACTATGTATATTATAATATATAACACTTGCACTGTTAACAGTTGAAAAATACAAAATGAAGTTTTTGTAAAAAATATTTGTTTTTACCACTGAATGCAATTTAATTTCGTATTATTTCTTTCTACCCTTACTTATTTTTCGTTTTTGTTCATTTTCACTTTAAAAAATAAAATTAGGTTATTTGATATTGGGCAATTTTTCTTCTCTTTCTCTTTTTATACTAATTTTCATGTAGATTCTATTTTTCTTCTCCTTTCTACATCTCATTAAATTCTTTTTTTTTAGCTTTTTTTTCTCTAAAATTCCTTTCTCCCCTGTCTTTAGCTGTAACCATTGTATGCCTCAGGATACGTTTTCCCAGACAGTTTGGTGCCATTGCACAGTTGAGATGGAAATATACCCTCATTTCAGATAGTAGTCACGCACTCATAGATAGACATACTGGCAGACATAGATAGATAGTTGGATAGTAGATAGATAGATAGATAGATAGATAGATAGATAGATAGATAGATAGATAGATAGATTGATAGATAGATAGATAGATAGATAAATAGATACATAGATACATAGATACATAGATACATAGATACATAGATAGATAGTTGGATAGATAGATAGATAGATAGATAGATAGATAGATAGATAGATAGATAGATAGATAGATAGATAGAGAGATAGATAGATAGATAGATAGATAGATAGATAGATAGATAGAGAGATAGATACATAGATAGATACATAGATACATAGATACATAGATATATAGATACATAGATAGATATAAAGATAGATAGATCAGAGAAGTATATGGGGGGCATGATGTATCCCCCCCCCACCCTGGAATGTAAACAAATGTAAAGGTTAAAATATCTGTATATGCCCCTGATAAGGCTATATCACAGGTAGTAAATATGTTGCCCTGATTGAATACCTGAATCCTGTAATTAGAATTTCCTTGTAGACTTATAGGCAGACATATACACCATAGAATACATAGATCTTGACTACTATGAAAAGTTGAATCAATTTTTAAGTCTGGAAGACTTTGAAGTGTCGCAGCGCCTTTGACATTGATTTTACATTTCGGTGATGGTAATGGACCAAACCTCTGTAGAGTAAAAAAGTAGATATTAGTTCCACATTTATTGAAAATATATTTCGGTCTGGGTTGACCCTAGTCAGTTCTTGAGATTGTTTCTGTCACGAAGATTAAAAACTCGCTTTATATTTTTTGTCGTCCTAGACATGTACTTTGAAACAAAAAGAACTTTTTTAACTGAAGTTTTTAATTATTTGGCAAAATTTTCATAGATTTCTAATTGAGAGCTTGCAATCTTTGAATTATTAAGGGGGGGGGGCAGCTAATTTAACACAGCAAAACAGGACAGCCAGAAAACAAGAACATTGGAAAAATGATTATATGCATTAAATACATGTATCAATAAATTTGTTTTATAAAAAATCGGGAAATTTTTTTTAAATTGTTAAAAAATTGTCAAAAACTAAATTGTATTTTAAAAAGAAAGTTGAAAACAATAAAAGTTGCACTATGAAGAATGCACGGTTGATGTTCTGCACAGTGCAGTGTGCACGTATTTTACATTAATATAAGCACGAACGTATTTACGTTTCCAAGCAAATAAAACACGATTGTCACGTAAACACAGAACAGTTATAACAGATTTAATTACTACATACCTTCCTTAGAACTAAAGTGTGTAGAGAAAAATCTCATTCAAGGAAAGCTACGAAAGAAGTTGATTTCTTGTAAAATATTATTTTCTTCTTCTTCTATTTTCAACTAGCTTGGGAACCCAGCCTTGTCTGGAAAGAAACAGAGATTACTGCTTTATAGTTTTTAAAGGGAGGTTTGATAATAATAGTGATATGGTATATTCAATTCGTAATCACCGTTAATAAGAATATATAAAAACCAGGCTTTAAAAGCGCTCGAAGCCCATCGCTTCTATGTTTTTCAACCTTATTATAAAACCAAGGTTGTTTACTCTCGATGCTCTCCATTGTACGGAAAGTGCTATCTCCTAAGAAAGAAAGATAAAAAACCTAATATGACGTCACTCTAGCCTCTAACACCGACCTTATTATACAACCTTGGTTGAAAACATAGAAGATGGACTTGGAGCTCTTTCAACTTTTAATTGCGGCTCTATCTGTGAACATCTTCTCTTAGAACAATATAAAACAAAAACAAAAAATTCGCGGATTTAGAGATATTTTTTCGGGCATTTTTAAATTGTACAAAAGTCCAATTTTGGACACAAATGGACAGAGACAAGCAAAGTATGTATATAGAAGAGAAATTGACCATGACTGAGAAAAATGATGGCATCCATCAGCAAAAGGATGACAGCAATGATTACGAAAAAGAATCCCAGATCTTTTAGAAAAATTATAAAACCAAATTTACAACATACTTCATATTATCAAAAATTCAAAAGTGCTTCTCTCCTGATGAAAAAAAGGCTGTTATCAAATCGTATCTATTCTTTTCGGAATAAGGTTCTTTCTTTAACACCCTTTATCAGTAATCCAGGGAGTCTAGTTGGTCCAGGCGCGTAGTGGAGGTTTAGCCAAGGGGGGTGCATTTTTTTGTGCACTATCCTAACGGTTGATGTACCCTAAAAAAACCGTTATTTAGAAAAAAAATAAAGTTTAAAATCTATATTAATCTACTTGAATATTGTAAATAAGATTAAGGTTACAAGATAAGAACTTGAGAAATAATCATAAAATGGACAAATTGTGACGTTGTCGATTAATAAAAAAGTAAAATTTTTCAGTATATATGTGTAAGTTTACTGTTTAATAAATTAGAGTCTGCCTCTGGCTCTAGGGGGGGGGCGACTAGGGGGTGCATGTCTAGGGGGCACAAGGGTACTAGCCCCCCCCCAACTACCCGCCTGCTTTGGTCACTTAGCTTTTCCCTCTGTATGTTGTCAGATTCAAGCGTTTTTATTATTGGACATTGTGCATAGTTTGTTTTATTGATTATATTACTATTTGTTTGGAAAATTGCAAAACCAGAAGGTATGGAGGGGAAGGAAGGGAAGGGGGCCGGAAGGAGATTGGAGGGGGTGGATGAAAGGAAAATGGGAGGGGGGAAGAGTCTAACCAATAGGAACAATGAAAATTTCTCTTTATTTCCTGCTACTGTCAAATCATTTGATTGAAGGACTGTATTATACTCATTAGTGGTTTCAGGCTTATATATCCAGCTCTTCTTATATGCTTGGATATATACAGGGTGGTTTCAGGCTCATATATCCAGCTCTTCTTATATATTTGGATATATACAGGGTGGTTTCAGGCTCATATATCCAGCTCTTCTTATATACTTGGATATATACAGGGTGGTTTCAGGCTCATATATCCAGCTCTTCTTATATACTTGGATATATACAGGGTGGTTTCAGGCTCATATATCCAGCTCTTCTTATATACNTACAGTTTGGACTACCTACTGTACAGTTTGGACTACCTACTGTACAGTTTGGACTACCTACTGTACAGTCGACCCAGCACGTTTTATGCAACCAGTGTAGCCTGGTAAAATCACAATGCCGGTTGAATGGGTTAATACCACAATATAGTAAATATAAATCTATTCTCTTTGGCTAATACAGTGATTTGGGTTTAACAAGTCATCATAATCTAATTAACGATCTAATTCTAGTTAAGTTTAACGAATTCTGAACTTCGGCATCAGTGGGTTACTTCCCTCTCTTTACCCTTTCAAATCTTTTTAATTAGATTTAGTTTATAGATAGAGGGATGAAGTACTAGATACATAGATCGGAAGATACAAGGATAGATAGATAGATAGACAGATAGAAAGTTAGATAGATGGATTGAAAGTCGGAAAAGGAAATTTAAAAGTTTATTAATCTTTCAAAGGTTCTGAAATAGAGTTATCTGATACTTTTACTCTTCTATCTTCCTACCTTTCAGCTATTCATGGAGGTACAGGCTTATACTCTTCTATCTTCCTACCTTTCAGCTGTTCATGGAGGTACAGGCTCATACTCTTCTATCTTCCTACCTTTCAGCTGTTCATGGAGGTACAGGCTTATACTCTTCTATCTTCAATTGATAGCTAAGATCATGCCCATTGGTTTGGCATTGATCGATTAAGAGCTTGTTTCCTTGTTGACATTATTAGCTGAGCTTGCGTCCGTGTTGACATTGATAGCTTACGTGTTGTACCTGGATTGATACAGATCTGGAAGCAGTTTTACGAGTATGGTATTTACTACAGGTTGACTTTTAGATGGAAAAATTAGGCAAAGCTGGGTTTCCAAACTAGTATATTGCACACTGTGGATTCATGTTTTGAGGTCATTAGTTAAGATGCTTAATGTAAATTTCAAGAAATGAAAGGTAGACAGTTTTTAGGAACAAAAAAAATGTTAGAGGCCAAATACGTTTGTTTATACCTTTTTGAAGATCAGTGGAGGTTCTCACAATTCCGAGGATAGGGAGGTCTATAGAGGATAACGGAGGTTAGAAGAAATAAGCCTGCAGGAAGGGAGGAGGGGGAGGATTTGTTTAATTTTGTTAATTACTAAATATTGGAAACCCTGTAAGCTTAGATAATAAATATCCCTGATCCCTCTTCTATCTTCCAACCTTTCANTTTTTTCATGATAAAAATATTTTATTGCAATAGTGGAAAAAAAATTTCAAAAATTTCTCATTGTTTAAAATATTTATACCTTTTTCTTTTGTTTACTCTATAGCAAAGTCCCAATGCTTCAGCAGCTGCTGTTCCTTCATCAAGTAGAGAAGCATTTGCAACATCCAAACCTGTGAGGTCTGTTATGATTGTCTGGTAGTTCAACAAAGATTCAAGACGTCCCTGTAAACAAAGCACAAATATACACTTTGTATAAGGAAAAATGTTTGGTGGATATAAACAAAATTCTTAACTTCTTTATATAATTTCTTAAAAATGTTAAGGATAAAACTGATTCTATTAAAAGTCTGACCTGTGCAATCTCTGGCTGATATGGTGTATACTGGGTCGTCCACCCTGGATTTTCGAACATATTCCTCAGGATGGTGTGGGGGATAGCAGTGTTGTAATATCCCATACCAATATAAGATCTCCAGATCTAAACAGATAATTTTCCTTTTTCCTGAAAAATGATGATCTTAAAGAGAAATATATTCACTGCACAACAGTACCCTTAGAAGCATCTAAGGGAGGTATGGAGGGAGTGCTTATGAATGTACTATGAAAGGGGTTAAAGGTTAAAATTCTATTTATTTTAGTAGAATAACCAGCCTACTTAATACTTAAACAAACCTCGCCTCTTTAGACCATCATTTTTTTACTTTAAATTTCCCACGCACTCCTATGTGGATTTCACCCTTCTCTTCAACTGTTTCAAAGTTACGACATGGATCAAAATTGAAACTTAAAATTGTTGCTAGAAAATCATCAAAAATATATAAGTTTTCTTTACACTTATTCTAAGTTATTTAGATTTTTTGCTGTGAATTCTTTTTACATTGCAATTTATTTGATGCTATCTATTTAAGTTTTCATTCTCTCTCCTCTTTTAAATACAAATATTAAAATTTAAATCTTTACATTTTGTTTTAAAAACATTTAGAAAGTTAAGTATAGGATTATTCAAATATCCAATAAATCAATTTATCTATAATCTGCTCTAGTTCCTCTCAAGGGATTGGGCATAGAATTTAATAAGGGTCATCATTAATAATGGCCGATATAACTAAATCTAGGGGGGGGGATATCTGAAAGGATTAAGTGGTTCTGTTGTGAATCACTTATGAGGCCCAAATTTAACGAATTTAAGCCGCGGCTCAAATATGAGATGTGGTTCAAACGTGGTTGGTTCCACCCGAAATTGTATCAAATGTTTCGAGACTTAGGCCGGCGCTTAATTGGAACTGGAATGTTGGCGGATCAGCGACGTGGTTTAAATTATTTAAATTCGGCCTCTGGTCTCTTAAAATCACTCTAAAAAGTCCTTAAAAATTAATATTGACGAGTAAACTTGAAATAAATCAATTCATAAATCAATAGAATAAAATAAATACTTAATAATGCTAATCTAGTATGATATCATGATTATCCAATTCAGATTTAAACATTCATTCCAGAAAATGTTTAATTGAAAGAAAACAAATCAAGGATTTTCTACAGTGGAATAGATGGATAGGATGAAAAGATAGATAGGATGAATAGATAGATAGGATGAATTATTGGATAAAATGAATAAATGGATAGCATGAAGAGATGGATAGGATGAATATATGAATAGGATGAATAGATTAATAGGATGAATAGATGAATAGGATGAATAGGATGAATCAGTAGATAGGATGAATAGATAGATAGGATGAATTATTGGATAAAATGAATAAATGGATAGCATGAAGAGATGGATAGCATGAATAGATGAATAGGATGAATAGATTAATAGGATGAATAGATGAATAGGATGAATAGGATGAATCAGTAGATAGGATGAATAAATGGATAGCATGAATAGATGAATAGGATGAATAGATGAATAGGATAAATAGATGAATAGGATGAATAGATGAATAGGATGAATAGATGAATAGGATGAATAGATGAATAGGATGAATAGATGAATAGGATGAATAGATGAATAGGATGAATAGGATGAATATATGAATAGGATGAGTATATGAATAGGTCAAATAGATAGATATATTAACTAAACATGTTACTATTTTCTTTTTATCAAAATTTTATAACCAAGAATGAATACTCCCCAAAAATACTAATTTTCTACCACCCTTTAATAATCTTCAGCCTGTCATCGCTGACCTTTATCATTTCTAAATTCTGCCAAAATAAACAGCCTGAGATAAAGTATGGTAGGTTTACATCAGCCTATTAAAAATATATAGGAATTGTCCAATAAGAGTTTGTAGTTAGTGTTTAGTTACATTTTTTACAATTAGTTCGGTTAAATTATTTGCCTCCACTTAACTAAATTTAACTAGGGGCTTTCAAAGTAAAGAAAATGAAAAGAATATATATCTAGATTGTAGACTGTAGGTGTATGTGTATATTGTGTAGTATAGTGGAAAAGAATATACATCTAAATTGTAGACTGTAGGTGTATGTGTATACTGTATATTGTGTAGTATAGTGGAAAATAATATATATCTAGATTGTAGACTGTAGGTGTATGTGTATATTGTGTAGTATAGTGGAAAAGAATATATATCTAGATTGTAGACTATAGGTGTATGTGTATATTATGTAGTATAGTGGAAAAGAATATATATCTAGATTACCTGTAAGCTTTGTTTGATCTCAATACCTTATAACTTTTCCAGAGGGAAACTTTGGAATCCAGTTCTCATGTAGGGAGCAAAATTAGAAATATTTCATAAACTTCTTCAGAAAATTGAATTATTCTCTTTAGATAATTTCAAATGACAACATATTTTTTAAATAGAAAAAAATAAACAAAAAGATTTACAAAATATATTTCATAATCCAAACAATTTACATCTTTTTGTCCTTTTTTTGAAATTTCTCAAAAAGTGATTTATATTAATGATTATTGTTTTCATAACAAACCTTTCACCTTGAATAGATAAAACTGTTTTAAATGTTTTTACATGCAATAGAATCCACAATGACATACAATGAAGTTACCACATTTCAGCAGAATCCTTCTCATCCTGAGGAGTTCCATCGTTTACAATGTAAGGAGACTCATAGGACTCCATAGGTGGGCAGGTGCACACTAAGTTCTTATCTCCATAGCTGTCATCAATTCGTCCAACGCTGGGCCATAGTTTACGGTCAGATGTAACGAAAGGTGCTGGGAAAGCTGCTATTTCTCTAGTGTAAGGCCTATCCCAGTCTGAGGAAAATATTTGCTTGAGAGTATGTGGAGATTTCTTCACAGGGTTGTTGAGGCGGTCAATCTTCCCCTCTTCTATATCAGCAATTTCTCTCCTGATGTAGATCAGGGCATCACAGAATCTATCAAGCTCCTTCTTATCCTCAGATTCTGTAGGCTCAATCATAAGGGTACCGGTCACTGGCCAAGACATGGTTGGTGCATGGTAACCGTAGTCCATCAAACGTTTGGCAATGTCAATGGCCTCGATTCCTGCAGTCTTCTTGAAATCTCTAACATCTATGATAAATTCATGAGCAACAAGTCCATTCTGACCCTTGTGCAAGGTTTTGTAGTGCTTGTTAAGACGATTGGACATGTAGTTAGCATTGAGAATTGCTACTTGAGTAGCTCTCTTTAACCCTCTTCCACCCATCATCTTGATGTATGCCCAGGAAATTGGAAGGATTGCTGCAGAACCATAAGGAGCAGCACTAACAACACCAAATGGTTTCGCCAATTTACCCATGTAAGTAGCAGATCCTGTAGCTATAACAGGATGAGAAGGTAAGAAGGGAGCAAGATGAGCTTTAACTCCAATAGGTCCCATTCCTGGCCCACCTCCTCCATGAGGAATGCAGAAAGTTTTGTGCAGGTTAAGATGACTTACATCTGATCCATAATCTCCAGGACGGCAAAGACCAACTTGAGCATTCATATTAGCACCATCAAGGTATACCTGTCCCCCAGCTTCATGGACAAGATCACAAATCTCAGCAACTGTTGCTTCAAACACACCATTGGTTGAAGGGTAAGTTATCATGAGACATGCAAGATTGTCTTTATGAGCAGCAATTTTACTCTTGACATCATCCATATCAATTGTACCATCTGTTTTTGTCTTGATTGGCACAACATTCATGCCAGCCATCTGAGCAGATGCTGGGTTAGTTCCATGAGCAGACAGGGGGATGAGGCAGACATTCCTGTTAATTTGATCTTTTGACTCAAGATATGACATAATTGCTCTAAGCCCAGCATATTCACCTTGAGCTCCACTGTTAGGTTGGAAGGAAATATGATCATAACCAGTTATCTCACACAGGTCTCTCTCAAGCTCTTCAAACAGTTGCCTATACCCAAAAGCTTGGTCAGGAGGGGCAAATGGATGAATATTTGTAAACCCTGGGAAACTGCAAGGCATCATTTCAGTAGTTGAGTTCAGTTTCATGGTACAGGATCCCAAGGGTATCATGGAGTGGACAAGAGACACATCTTTGTTCTCCAGTCTCTTCATATACCTAACTATGTCTGTCTCTGATTGATGAGAGTTGAAGACTGGGTGAGTCAGAAACTGTGAAGTTCTCTGGAAGACTTCTGAAGAAAGGATTGATCCCTCGGGATACATTGGAGATACTACACCTTCAGCTACCTGATAAATGGTCTTAGGACACTGGAACACCCATAGAAGGTCTGTTATATCCTTTTGATTCACAGTTTCATCCAGTGATACTCCAACAGATCCATCAGCAAAGTATCGCAAGTTGATCTTCTGTTCTGCTGCCCTTGTCTTAATTTCTGATATGTCTAGTCTGGTGTTTACTTTAATGGTATCAAAGAACAATTCATTTTCAATGATATTTCCAGACTCTCTCAGACCTTTAGCAAGAAGCAGAGCTGCATTATGTACTCTTCGTGCAATGACTTCAAGTCCCTAAAATTATGAACAGTTTGACTTGTTGAATAAACTTAAATGCTTCCTAAATAATCTTACCTCTGGTCCATGGTATACAGCATACATTGCTGATATGTTTGCCAAAAGAGCTTGTGCTGTGCAAATATTGGAAGTCGCCTTATCTCTTCGAATATGCTGTTCTCTTGTCTGCAGTGCCAATCTGAAGCACTCATTTCCATCTGCATCTCTGGTCACTCCAATCATTCTGCCAGGCATATGCCTAACATACTGGTTCTTGGTAGCAAAGAATCCTTAAAAATAGAACATTGATTCTCATTAAGGTAAACTGGCATAATTAAAAAAATTACCAGCATGGGGTCCTCCATATCCCATGGGGACTCCAAACCTCTGACTAGTTCCTAGAGCAACATCAACCCCAAATTCTCCAGGAGGTTTCAGAATAGTCAAAGCTAGAAGGTCAGTAGCACAAATAGTAAGGGTTCCATTTTTCCTAAAAAATATTTTTACAGATTTGTCCAAATATTAGCTGAAATATTTATCTTACTTGGCTTCAGCAACAATATCTGAGAAGTTGTGGATTGATCCCTCAGTGTCAGGATATTGGAAGATGATGCCTCCGATATCTTTTCCAGAGAAGTCTACAGTGTTGATGTCTACAACCTCTATCTTGATACCAAAAGGTCCTGCTCGGGTCTCAACACAACTAATGGTCTGGGGATGAAGCTTGTTGGACAACAGAAATCTAAACAGATTGCCATTCTTTTTCGCAACAATCAGAATTATAGAATCAGAGATAATTTTTATGTTTTCTTTTTTTCATGATAAAAATATTTTATTGCAATAGTGGAAAAAAAATTTCAAAAATTTCTCATTGTTTAAAATATTTATACCTTTTTCTTTTGTTTACTCTATAGCAAAGTCCCAATGCTTCAGCAGCTGCTGTTCCTTCATCAAGTAGAGAAGCATTTGCAACATCCAAACCTGTGAGGTCTGTTATGATTGTCTGGTAGTTCAACAAAGATTCAAGACGTCCCTGTAAACAAAGCACAAATATACACTTTGTATAAGGAAAAATGTTTGGTGGATATAAACAAAATTCTTAACTTCTTTATATAATTTCTTAAAAATGTTAAGGATAAAACTGATTCTATTAAAAGTCTGACCTGTGCAATCTCTGGCTGATATGGTGTATACTGGGTCGTCCACCCTGGATTTTCGAACATATTCCTCAGGATGGTGTGGGGGATAGCAGTGTTGTAATATCCCATACCAATATAAGATCTCCAGATCTAAACAGATAATTTTCCTTTTTCCTGAAAAATGATGATCTTAAAGAGAAATATATTCACTGCACAACAGTACCCTTAGAAGCATCTAAGCAGATGTCACTGTATTACTATCTGGAATAGTGTTAAATTATTTCAATTTCCTTCTTTGACCCCTGCTGCATAAGTCCACATATCACTTTTATAGAGGAACTACAATTGGAAATAGTATTTTTCAGATGTTTTACTTAAACTAAGATTTAAAGGGTACAACTAGAATCAGGCATGCACCTCTTCAACTCTCTGAGGGTCATGCTAAATTACGTCACCATCTGTTTAAAAATTGAATTTTACCTGATTTCTTGCAGCAATCTGCTGCACTCTTTTGATCACCTCATACTCAGACAAGGGAGTATCTTAAAAGTTTTTGAGAAATTTTTAACCTAAAATATTTTTTTTCATTTTTGGTTTTTTTATATTACCTAAAAGTAAGTCTCTATTGAGTTTGATATTGTCAGGAACAGCTGCGTTGGTTAGTTCATCAAGGGAGGCATATCCAAGCTGCTTTAGCATTTTCCTAAACAAACCTGGAGATTAATTCAGGATTTTTTCTAATTTTTTAAACTGAACATACATTTTGTCTGGTAAGGGCGAATTTTTATATATTTTGTTTTTTTTTGTCTCTCAATTTTTAAGAACAGTTTTTTATAGATTTTAAAGTAAGGTTGGGTCACAAAAGAAAATAGTTCAAATATCTCGTTCTGCTGCATCTGTATATATATAAGTTTATGAAAACCCCCATCTGCAACAGATCTTTATTTCTTCTATGTCTACACTGGTATTAAAAAAAAACAAGGAAAAGCAGATTAAAGTTTTAAATATTTTTTATAGCATGGTCACATTATCATGAAAAATGCAGAAAGAAATTCGTGCAATTCAAAAGCCTATTTGAAAAGAGTGTACAGAAAAGTTGGATCATAATTTTACACACTTCTAAAGAATCCCAAAATAATCCCAAAATTTCTGATACTTGACCATAACTTTGATGTTTCAAATTTTGCTATTTGTGACCAAAGTTTGAAATTTTAAAGGTTTGCACCATCAGGTTTCAAATATCACTGTAAACTCTGGTTTATCTGAAGTACCAGACTGTGTTTAAGGAAGCTAGTTCTACAGTATGCATACAAACTATAAGACGGCCAAAACAGGACAGTACACCAAATAAATCATCTCCTATTACAAAAATATACAAACAAACATATTAAAACTTGCCTGGCATCATGTTTCCTGGGTCCGATATGCCTAGCAGGGAAGTCAGCTACTGGAGGTATAATTTCATCCAGTTTGGTCGGGGGAATTGTTCCTAGCATTCTAACTCCCTCCCGGACTAGTGAGAGAGGAAAAAAGGTTAAACAAATGTTTATTTTGGAGTCAATTTCTTTAAAAGTTATGCAAGTTGTATATCTTCCTGGTATTTTAAACTAGTCCCCCACTTCTACCTGCTTCTTTGAATCTACCTCCTCCCCCATTTGAAACTAGCCCCCCCCCCCTTCTACCTACCGTTTGAAACTAACCCCCCTTCTACCTGCCATTTGAAACTACCCCCCTTCTACCTGCCATTTGAAACTATCCAACCCACTATTACCTGGCATTTAAATTATCCAACCCACTTCATTTGCCATTTGTAACTATCCAACCCACTTCTATCTGCCATTTGAAACTATCCAACCCACTTCTACCTGCCATTTGGAACTATCCAACCCACTTCTATCTGCCATTTTAAACTATCCAACCCACTTCTACCTGCCATTTGTAACTATCCAACCAACTTCTATCTGCCATTTGAAACTATCCAAGCCACTTCTAACTGCCATTTGGAACTATCCAACCCACTTCTATCTGCCATTTGAAACTATCCAACCCACTTCTACCTGGCATTTAAAGCTATTCAACCCACTTGTACCTGCCATTTTCTCCAGCTGTAGCTCTAAGCATAATTGCTCTAAGACTTGTCTCGTCTTGATCCTACCCAAACGATACATTTTGTCTGATATTAAGCAAATATTTTTTACAAAACAGGAAACTTTTAACGTTTCTTTATATTATTTCAAGTAATTCATAGTAATAATTTCTTAATTCTTAATTATTCACACCACTAATAAATGGTTTTAAGGGGAAGTAAATGCAACCGTAGAAACCCTTCAGCCATCTCTTTTTATCTTCCCCTCTTTATCTTTATATAATGAATAGCTCCTGTAGGATTCGGAAACCGGAAAAACAGGTTCGTCTAGCCTCCAAAAGATGACAAAATTATTTTAAAAATTAATTTTATGATTTGACAAAAAAATACAATTATTCAAACACTTTTACATGGAACATTGTTTGGTTTTTGGTTTTATAAGTTTCTAAGTTTGATAAGTATGATTGTTTATGTATGAGATGGTTGTATGATGTTTATCTCTAAACCAGTCTGGTCCAGAATCCTAGTTCCCTAGATACAACCTGGAGACAAGTTCGGGAGATTTCAACTCCTTGATGGAAAGATGCAACCTCGCGCAGACAAATAAAGCCATATAGATAGACAGTAAACACAATGGCGTAGTTAGATTTTTCTCTCAGGTACAAAAAGAAATATCGCCGTAATTACAAGCGAGCCTCAATTAAAAAAAAAGTAACTGCCAATTTACAATTTACGACTTACAATAATGTAAATTTTTCTGTCTTAAAGGGAGTGTTCGCGTAAAATGAAAGAGGGTATAAAAGACTGATCCCAAATTTTATTCGATGTCGATCGATACTAATCTTATTACTATCTGTTGCTTTTATATGGAGAAAATGGTTAAAAACGACTCATGTACATTTAAAACTGGAAAGCTGAGAATTGTCGTCTTATGCGCCATCTATCTTTTTCTTTGGTAGAACAGAACCCATACAATGATATGTACAGGGTTAACCACAAAGGATGAGACTGTAAAGACGACTTGAAACGTTCAAAATATTACAGTTTCAAGGTTAATTTATGTCTTTTGTCCTGAATATTGTTATGCATTGACTTATTCTATGATTTGGCAAAGAGAGAAACGAATTCGCAGTTTCAGGGAATATGTAAGGAAACATACATTATACATTTCGTACAGTCGTCTCCGAAGTCTCATCCTTTGTTGGTATCCCTGTAATCTAAATATTATAATCTTTTTTTGTGAGATGTATTTTGGAGGACGTTATAAATTAAGCATAAATAGTGTTTGGCAATCTTTTATGATATGAGTTTTATTAATGTGCAAAGGAAAGGAAACTTTCGGTTAAAAAACGTAAATAATGAAAATTAATTACTTGGGCCTCGCATTAAAACAGTGAACATCCCCATTAGCTTAAAATTTGTGCAAAATCGTTTTTGCAATATGCTCCTTGCGCTTCTGCAATATTATTATGATATGTAGGTAAAACGGGTTCCCACGACTCTAAACCAGGGGTAAATTTGCATCGGAAAAACTTTCAAAAATAACAATTTTACGTTTTTTTAAATTTTTCTTGACTTTTTTGATATATTTAAGTTTTGAGATGAGATATCAATCCCTGAAGGCTTTGTAGGGTTGAGCCCAGATCTCCTGGTTTAATTGGGTACTATAAACCCTTACACTTACTAACCACTACCTAGATATCTATCTATCATGATCTAGATCTATCTAAGTATCTGACCTTGTATAAAATTATTTATATATATGTTATGAATGGTTTTCTATCTATCTATCTTGGTTTTGTTTGAACCCAAATTTCAATTTAGTTTTGGGTTTAATATCGTGCTCGTTGTTTTAATTTTGATCCCACGATAATATCTTATCTGTAGAAAAGAGAGTATTAGGATCAAGGGATTGGTAGCTAAATTAGGATCAAGGGATTGGTAGCTAAATTAGGATCAAGGGATTGGTAGCTAAATTAGGAGCAAGAGATTGGTAGATAAATTAGGATCAAGGGATTGGTAGCTAAATTAGGATCAAGGAATTAGTAGCTAAATTAGGATCAAGGGATTGGTAGCTAAATTAAGATCAAGGGATTGGTAGCTAAATTAGGATCAAGGGATTGGTAGCTTAATTAGGATCAAGGAATTGGTAGCTAAATTAGGATCAAAGGATTGGTAGCTAAATTAGGATCAAGAGATTGGTAGCTAAATTAGGATCAAGGGATTGGTAGCTAAATTAGGATCAAGGGATTGGTAACTAAATTACGATCAAGGGATTGGTAGCTAAATTAGGATCAAGAGATTGGTAGATAAATTAGGATCAAGGGATTTGTAGCTAAATTAGGATCAAGGGATTGGTAGCTAAATTAGGATCTAGGGATTGCTAGCTAAATTAGGATCAAGGGATTGGTAACTAAATTAGGATCAAGGGATTGGTAAGTAAATTAGGATCAAGGGATTGGTAACTAAATTAGGATCAAGGGATTGGGAGCTAAATTAGGATCAAAGGATTGGTAGCTAAATTAGGATCAAGAGATTGGTAGCTAAATTAGGATCAAGGGATTGATAGCTAAATTAGGATCAAGGGATTGGTAGCTAAATTAGGATCAAGGGATTGGTAAGTAAATTAGGATCAAGGGATTGGTAACTAAATTAGGATCAAGGGATTGGGAGCTAAATTAGGATCAAGGGATTGGGAGCTAAATTAGGATCAAGAGATTGGTAGCTAAATTAGGATCAAGGGATTGGTAGATAAATTAGGATCAAGGGATTGGTAGATAAATTTATTTCTATTTAAATTGTGAACATGTTATTCTTGTTTACATTTAAAACAAAGAAGAAAAAAATTTTGCGGATTTTCAAAAAAAGATTCGCTGATTTTCAAGAATTTAAATTTTTTTACAAAATTAAAATCCTTTAAAACACATTTTTTATTATTCATAAACCTTCCCTGTGGTCAAGTGATGTCCCACAAAAAATTTGGACCCGATCGGTTCAGCCGTTTTGACGTTTATTGGATACAAACAGACAGACAAACAAACAGACAGACCATGTAGGAAGGAATGAAGGGATGAATGAATGAATAAATGAATAAATGTATTAGGAAGGATGTTCTACCCAAGGATGAATATAGAAAGGATGAAGGGATGAATAAATGAATGAATAAATGTATGATGATGTATATTCTAACCATGTAGGAATATAGAAATATACTATTCTGTCTGGAAATATTGCTAATAAAAGAATTCAAACTATTCAAATAAAAGTTCAAAAATCCTTCCAAGATAGATAGATAGAAAGATAGATAGATAGATAAATAGATAGATAGATAGATAAATAGATAGAAAGATAGATAAATATAGAAATATGGATAGATATAATCTGATAGATATAGATAGATAGAAAGATAGATAGATAGATAAATAGATAGATAGATAGATAAATAGATAGAAAGATAGATAGATATAGAAATATGAATAGATAAAATCTGATAGATATAGATAGATAGATCAATAGTCATAATAAAAAAGTTTTGAAAAACTGCCAGATATTGTTCGTTATAAAGGCAGAAAGTGTTATGAATTATGAGCATGTATGTTTACTCTCAGTAAATACATAACACAGGCTATCAGAAAATATAATCATCGATAGAAAAAAAAAGATTCACAATTATTGAAATAAAAGTTTTCCTAAACAGAACTCTTGAAAAATTAGAAACAAACTCTTTAACCAAACTTGCAAAACAAACTATTTAGCTAATTTCCTGAAACAAACTCTTTAACCAAACTAGCAAAACAAACTATCGTGCGAATTTCCTGAAACAAACTCTTTAAGCAAACTAGCAAAACAAACTATTGTGAGAATGTCCTGAAACAAACTCTTTAACCAAACTAGCAAAACAAACTATTGTGAGAATGTCCTGAAACAAACTACTAAATTGAATTCAAACTCCTGGAACAAGTAACAAAAACACTTTATGAAACAAACTCTTAAAAAAAATCCTCAAAACACTTGTGAAACAAACTATTGAAACAAATTCCTAAAGAAATCTTTTGAATAAAGGTTACGAAACAAACGGCTGAAAAAAAACATCGTGAAAAACTACCCAAACAAAGAAAACTCAAGAAACAAACTACCGAAGCAAACTCAAGAAACAAACCACCAAAGCATACTCCTGAATCAAACTACCAAAACAAACTCCTGAATCAAACTGCCAAAACAAACTCCTGAATCAAACTACCAAAACAAACTCCTGAAACAAACTAAATCCCTACCAAGCCCTACCACTCCAATCCCTACCAAGCCCTACCACTCCAATCCCTACCAATCCCTACCCACTCACCCCTAAAGGCTGAGCATAATATTGAATTTTGATTCTGATATTCTAAATTTTATTTAAACTTTTATAAAGTTTATACTCAATAGTTTAAACAATTAAAAATAAACAGGAGTAGATAATATTTATTTCTTCATATGTACATAAAAAAATGTAAATTCAAAATGTTGGTCTTTACAAAAATAAAAGTTGAATTCACATTTTTTAGAACATGTATTTCGGTCAGAATATCATATAATTATTAAATAGATTATCAAATACAGAGAAATGGAACAATCATACACGACGTCACAAGTGTCAAATATAATCAACAAGGAAAACCAAATATTTTTCACATAATAATATAATTTTCTCACATAAGTTGAAATGTTTTCCGAGATGAAATAAAAAAGTTTAAAATCAGTAGATAAAGAATACATAAAATGGCCTTATTTCGCTGTAAGATAAGCTTTTTTCTATAATTGTCACTATTATTAATAATTTTGTCGGACACTTGTCAGAATACAGCTTTACAAATTCCACGTAGCCATCTAGAATCTTTTCGATAATTATATCTACACTTAGTTTATAATTTGCATTTAACTCATTATCATATTTTTTAAAAATAAATAGATAGATAGATAGATAGATAGATAGATAGATAGATAGATAGATAGATAGATAGATGGATAGATAGATGGATAGATAGATAGATAGATAGATAGATAGATAGATAGATAGATAGATAGATAGATAGATAGATAGATAG